CAGACGCAGTCATCTCAGGCTCAGCTCTTGGAAATTACTTTTGGCAACGTGGAAAGATGCCAAAAGCATGGGACGATTCCCTTTGCCAATCTAAAATGCCAATTGAACATCACCATTTATAAACTTACACCATGAATAAACAGAGATTTTCCAATGCCATTTCGGACTCCCAGAGGGTCGAGTTAGTTCATCTTGGATGTTTAGCTAAGGCCATGACGTACAGCTGTTTGTCGGAGACCCCAGCAGGCCCTGGTTTGGCGGGCTCCACTCAGGCGTAAACGGCAGTCCGAAAAACTTGCATGTTTAGGGTGAATGCTATGTTTTTTCCAAGAAAGACACGTCAATGTGAAAGCATACAGTATGTGTATGTATATAGCGCACTACCAGACATGTCAGACCGTGCGAGTCAATCCGCAAGGGCCAGAAAAATAGATGGATCTGGCCAACAAAAGGAAAAAGAAGCATCCAATCCAATCCAAATTAGATATGTACAGATGAAATGATTGAAATGTATAACCATGAAATCCAATCCATAAATCCATTATAAATCCACTATAAATCCATTATACATGCCAAAAGTTTGGACCCATCAGAAATCGTCAGTAGAGTCTATCGCCACCCAGGATCGAAGCATGCAGCCTGGGGAACAATTGGCAGCAGGACCGCAGCTGCACCAAAAAGGAAGAGATAGTCCAGAATCACTCAGAATCACCATGGTTCGTTGATTCATAACTTGGTGAATTGATTTCATGACTCAATCAATCAAGCATGGTTCGTTTTTTCCCGACTCATTTGGCTGTGACGTTTCATAAAAAGCTGGTACTTTTTGATAGGCATGCTTCCATTCATGGGCATTGACCCACCTCAATAGCACCATCCCCAGCCTGACCAGTCAGATGTCTGAAATCCCCAGTTCCCCAGGCCATTGCCTTCCTTGTGAACATGCGCAGCGCGAGGTTCCAGCGGCGGCCACTCAGATGGGGCAAAACTTAAATTATCAGTGGAGACTTCAGTACCTCCAATTTACCCTCTGATTATGACTAACATAGCCATGGAAAATCACCATTTTTAATAGGTAAACCATTTATAAATGGGCCATTTTCAATAGCTATGTTAGTTTACCGGAGGGTAGGTACCCGAAACAGCCATTGAAATTATGGGCTGTGAGATTCAAAAATGTGAATCGGATCTGATGCAGCCACCTGCACCTCAGAGATGGTCATGAATGAAAATTGGTGGACCATAGATACCTTCCCACATTGTTGGCACATTGTTGGCCGGATCACCAGCCCATGCTGATTGCAAGTGCATGCAAGTGTACATGCCAACCCCCAGATCAAGTATCCCGTTCCGGGGTGTGATCAGCCAACCCACTACACCATGCAACTTGGGTCATTTTGGCGATTCAGTTAGAAACAAGCATGTTCAATTTGATGGTGGGAAAACTGTGAGCCATCCCCAGCATTTTATTATGCCAGTGTGCTTGGGACGAATCCTGCGCATATATTTATATAATTTTATATATATGCCCATACTTTTGGCAGCTGATATCCCGAAAGAAGATTGCTGGTTGTATCTCCATGTTCCTTGGCTTACTATCCTTTCTATTGATGCTTACTATCCTTACTATTGGGCCCATCTCCATCGTTTTTTCTACCATCCCTCGTTTTTTTCGCAATAGCTCCAGCTTGGCCAAAAGTCATTAATGTGGACAAGCAATAATAAACCATCCCCAATTTCATCGTTTTTATAGGTGGTATGGTTACCATTCCCAGTCATGGGTGCTTTATGACATTGTTTGACCCACATGATTTTCATGGGGAAGATCTCCAATTTTCACTGGAAAACCAGCCTTGCCAAGGACCTCAGCCTCGATCCATGGCAAGGTCTTCAATGCTTTGGATGCAGCTGGCCCGGATGGCCCAGTGATGACAACTAGAATCCCCCCTGCAAGGTGCCCCTGTTTCTTAGGTATATAACTTGGTTTTTAAGATTTCACAAGTGGAATCCCTGTGATTGATTATGAAAAATAGTGCTTTGACCATCCAAAACGGTGGTTTTAACCGAGTCTAACCATGCTGAAAAAGGATTAAGAAAGAAAGAAAGAGAGAGAGAGAGAGAGAGAGTACAATATACAATACACCCTATGTTTGGGACCCCAAGTCATGAATATATCATATACTAAACCTAGGTTTCTCACGCGCGTCGTCTTATAATTGATATTAGGGGGAGGGGTTGGATGAATATGTGGTTTATTAATGATTTGACCAACTTCATCAATAATTGGGGAGAAAACCAAACTGTGGACTTAACGTGGCTCAACCATTCATTCGTTTTGATGAGAATCGGATTGTCTTCAAAGTGTGGTCGGTCAATTAAAGACCGAGAGTTTGTAAGATTTATCGGCTGGATTATGCTGGATTTAGCCATCTTAAATTGTGAAATCCATATTATCCCGGAGCCGGATCCTTCGAAATTATAGGGTTGGAGGTTTCCTGAAATGGGAGTACCCCTAGTCATCATCCATTTGTAAGAGGATTTTCCATTATAAACCAACCATTTTGGGGTACCCCCATTTATGGAAACCCCCGGTTGGAGATGTGAATTGTTTCACCCGAGATGAATGGCAGCACTCATTGGCCTTGCTGTATCAGCTGTCCGGGGCGCCAGCGATGCCGTTGATGGGCAGTACTGTGGATGGTGGCGAAATCCTGCGCCACCAAAAGGATGGTTGAAACCCTATGAATAATTGGATATACTGGGATAAACCATCTATCAACTGGTGCAGGATTTCTTCCATCCACAGTATGGCTTGCATTTATCGAAAATCTTGCGTTTTTTTGTTGGTGCGGGCCATTGAGTGCTGTTGAGTATATCGATACGCAAGGAACCTCAAACTGAGAAACAAGACAAGAGCCTCGCCGCATTCGACTGATCAACCGCGATCATTGTGTCTCAAGACGCTGAAACTTTTTCCAACGTGCCAAGTGCCGTTGATGCCAGCCGAGACATTGATTCCATCAGGTTTATAACTTCACCTCAACAGCCACAGTGTCACAGCTGCCGTTTTGAGAGCTTGAATTCAATCAAAAGTACGATAGCCAGCCCGACACTTCAATGAGCCAAGTCATTGAACCACCAGTTGAAAAAGATGTGTCGAAGCTTTCAAATTCTACTAGCTGCCATCTTCCCACCATGTTCTCAAAGACATCGGTAGAAAAGCACGGGTAGCGGGTGGCGGAAAGAATAGTCACCACGCACTCTGGGGGGCTTTCGGTGCCCCCTATGCATCATGAGGGGCCATGGTTGGCGAATATGAAGACCTCAGTGAGAAGCCTCTGGAAGAGGCCCGGGTTGGAGCCACACATTTGGCCAACAGATTTGCAGCTGTGTGCGGGTGATGTGATGAGCAAATGCGGTAGGGAAGTGTAGGGAATCGAACTTCCTACAGCTGGGCTGATTCAAGCACCGCTTCCCAGGGCTCGCGCTGTTCGAGCTGCTGCTTGGCGAAAGTGAGCCAACAACCACTAGTGGTGATATGAACAACGGAAACTGATATCTATAGAATCACCCGAAGATACCAAACGATACAAGCAACAAGAAAGAGCGAGAGGATATCGACTGCAGCGTAGAACATTTGCCCTTCTCTTCTCCTTTCCTGTTGTTGGAAGCATCCTCGTATCCCCACCAGAGATGTTTGCTTTGTCTTTGATTTGTGTTGCAGGCTTTTGGTACGGTGATGTACCGCCTGCATTTGAATATAGCCGTTCTTTACTTCTCGTTGATGTCGCAAGAAGCTGACAGCCCATGAGCCAGGATGACCCAGGTAAGTTGTTTGAATATGTTTGAATCCGTTCCAACATGAAAGCTGAGGCTGTCCGTTTTGGCAAAGGTGCCCAGCAGCTGACCGGGATTGCTTTCCCAGCCCATAACCGACAAAAAAATTGTTGTTGCCAGACCTTCCCATCAAAACGAGGCTGTTCCACCCGACAGCGCAGCAGAATAATTTCAAACCTCCGATGAAAGTCAACTGTTTCACTACTTGCAGTTCTGCCTCGAAACATGTTAGGTACGAGAATTCAGTTTTCAGATCTCGACACGGAGGCTTGGACGGAGTTGATTTCTGGCATTGAAACAATGGTAATAGCAACAGCTTCAATAGTAATAATTAATCATCATCACCACCACCACCATCATCATCATCATCGTCATCGTTATCGCCATTGTCAAAAACATTTTAGTAGTCTTAGGACGTGTTGCACTCTCAAGATGTTGAAGTGTCAGCTCCCTAAATCCTAGAATTGCTTGAAGGGACAACCATTTGTAGGAGCATGACTCATGACTTGTCTCCTAAGCGGTCGTATGCCCATTGTTTCCTGTAAATGATGTCATTCAAAACGATCCCAGCGACCCTGTTTTGGATGCTTCGCAAGTTTGGGATGCTTCAACCAAAACCCTGGCCTTGAATGGGACCCATTACTGGGGATCGTTTTCAGAAGGGGGAAGGTGGTTATATCCATGATGATGCCAATGCCCATCATCAAAATGATCATTATTATATCCCTATTATGCACAACTATACCGTAATACCCATCATAGTTAACAGTAAACAAATGAATAACTCAATAGTTCTTCTTCACATAGCATCATGAATACAAGCCTCAAACTATTGGCGCCATCTTTTTGCACCAGGTAGAGCTTAGTACATTTTCCTACGGACATACACATGCCTATGATTACAGTATGTCAATTCAGACTACATAGTAAGCTGATGATTTCCCGGGTGTTATCAAAAAAAACTATGTACAATGCTTACGTTGCACCCCCAGATTATAACCCCAAATCCCATCTGGTTGGTGGTTTGGAACGTTTTTTCCATATATTGGGAATATCACCATCCCAACTGGCGAACTCATATTTTTCAGAGGGATAGGTATACCACCAACCAGCCATAAATCACCCACCAAGCACTGCGGTTCCAGGTGGAGACAGGCCGCACCATGGTGACTTCCAGCCGCCGCACGGGCGCGAGCGTGGTGGTCTTGCCGGGCGCGGCAGATGGCACTGGGCCGCTGGGTGATTTAACAGGGTGAAAAACCATCAATTTGTGGGATATACATTGGTTCTACCATGAAAACTGGTGGGTCTTACAAGTGAAAATGCTGGTTCTACATGGTTTTACAAGTGAAAAACTTGGTTTAGTACATCTAGTACGGTTTCACCCATGGATCATGGGAAATGGGCAAAAATATGGGTAAACAGCAGTGGATGGATAGTTGAACACTGTACTCCAGGGTTGATATTACATTTGGATTTACAAGAATCCGTTGACCTTTTTGGGGGATGTGATCATTATTCAAACTTTAGGTGTTTTAGACGAAATCAACGGGGATATGACCGTGATATGACTGTCAATAACCAAATGGCTGCATTGGTACATCATACTTGTTTGATTTTGGCGTGTAGGATTTTGGGCGAAAACCTTGCAAATATCGTTGTATCTTTGAGTTTGACGCATTAGTTTGGAGACTATCACAGACAAGTGGAGAAAATACGGACCAGAACAACGTGGAAGTAGAAGTTCAGCATTTTCGGCAGAAAAAATTGTCACTTTAAAGGGATTGTGTTGAACTATGTTTGGTTTCAGCCAGGATTACCTGTAAAATCATGCAAAATCTAGGTTGTTGTCCAAGAAAATATTTGAAACCAAAACATTATGGCATTATGGGCCGGTGGGCATTTGTTCTGATATCCCAATTTCACATAGCACATCCTCATTTGGGGACTTCTCTAGAAGACGTGCCAACCAGCTACCCAGCATGGATTCTTGATCAGTTTCTGGTTTAGCGTTCAGTGCTGGCCGAAAAAACAGGAAGAAGATCCCAAATTTGGCGATCAAATATCCAGATAATTTCATGGAAAAAAAGTAACTTTCAACGGTTTTACAATCAAATAGCCCTTCAAAGGTGTCAGCTACGTTAGTTGACAAAGGCCATTACTGTATCTAAAGACTCTATAGACTATAGCTTTACCATAGGTCCACCCGTTAACTCTTAACATTGCTAACCTATGTTAACCTACTTAACCAGCGAACTTTGGGCACCTCCAACAGGCAAACTCCAAGCCGAGGAATTGTCTGGAACCGAAGCTCTCCGAGGCACCGGAAATCCCCAGGTGCCAGAAAGCGCCATGGCATGGTCGATGTCCCAAAGTCATCGGTGTTTCAGCAACGGAAAAATCTCGGAATTTAACCAGAAATAAGGATGTAACCAACGGATAAGCAATTTAAACAGGTTCGATAGATGGAGGTTGGACCGGTTCACGTTTGACAACATTTTGAAAAAGTAATGCCTTTGGGCGAAACCCGAGAATGAGGAAAACAGAAATGAGGCTTCTTAATCAGATTTCAGCGATACAGGGGGTCAACCACCAACAACTGAGAGAGGAATAGCACCTCAACTCACGATCTGGTGTGTGGGTGTCTATCAACTTGTCGTTTTCCCTTTTTTCAGACAGATGTGAAACGCTGTGTTTTGAGGTCGTGTTTTTTGGTTTGATCCATGGTATCTATGACATGTTGTTTTCTTTGACGACCTCATCCAGACACCGTGGAGGATCATGTTGCCCCTTGCGCAAGTGAAGAAAGAGCCGCGGCGGCGCTCCGCCATGTGGAGTGAGGAGGGATCAACAGTTGATCAACATCATGAAAAACATCCATGAACCTACGAATAGTGGTTTCTTGGAATAGGGGATCCCCAAAACCATAGGAGGATTTGGATGATTTGGATGATTTGTGGGTACCAGCATTTTAGGAAACCTCCACTTAGTGGTTCAGTGAATTGAGCCTTAGAACGCTGTTCAACGTTCCGCCGACCTGGCCTGTGAGCAGGAGTCTCCACCGAATTTGAAAGGCAAAGCCTGGGTGCTGTCCGAAGAAAGGCCCTGTGGCTTGTTCCCAGCATCAGATGGTTGTTCCGAAGGAATGGTCTTGAAGTTATTTCGTGATTGGTGACTCAGGGTTCTTCCTAAAACATCCTAGTTCCCAGTTGTAAGCCGGTCCTACGAAATTTCCCTGCAACCCAACATGAGTTGGATCATGGCAGATTGGTCAAGGTGTGTGTCTCACGCAGTGTGGCATTGAGATTCCGCTCAGAACCGTGTCAACTTTGGAACCCGCTGAGCCTTTCATCCGCTGCCTCCATTTTAGTGGATTCCAGTCTGGAAAAATCCTGCTTCAACGGCGTTTTGGCATCCTCTTTGACCCCAAAGGTACCCCAAGAGCCACAATCTAAAGTTTAGAAGACCATGGAAGACCCAAGAATCTCAGGCTCAACGCTTGACAAGTAATCCTCATCATTTTATATGCAGACTCCGAGCTTTCTGGTTTTTTTGGGTTTCCTAAAATGGGGGTACCCTTAAATCATCCATTTCAATAGGATTTTCTATTATAAACCAACCATTTTCCATTTGTGAACCATCCATTTTTAGGTACCGACTGTGGAGACCCGTGGCCAGGTTCACCCCAAGCAACGAGACGACGAGCTCCCACGCAGCGAGCTCATCGTGCGACAGTGCCACGGCGAAGAATGGGGCGTTACCCCATGGTTTGTTTGGACCATGAAGAATGGGGCGATTTGCCCTTTGGTTATGTAACATAGCTATGAAAAATGATTCATTTATAGATGATTTATGATGATCTATCCAAAAAAATGGTGATTTGCCATAGCTATGTTAAATAATTAGAGGGAAACATGATTTTCCGATCAAAATAAGGAACTTGAGTGGGAAAGCCTTGCTTTCATCAACCTTGGTGAGGGGTAAAAAATTGATTATCAATGGGGACTTGCCAACAATAAATGAGGTTGGAAATGTGCCGGGATTATGCTAAGATATTTAGGAAGATGTCCGAGAAGGGTGTGTTAAACTAGCTTCAAATGCTTCAATCTTCACACTTTCGCAATGCATAGAAAAATGTTATGCCCACATGTCAAAAAGTGACTTCCTTGCTTGAACTGTTTTCCATCCCGGCTTGAGATGACTGGCCAAACTTGATACGTTCAAGATTCAAGATGGGTTCAAGCCACCAAAGCAGATTTGCAGAGATGTTGGTGGGTGCGGTGTGCCAGGTGAAGATTCCGCACAGGAAGACCTTTGCATTTTAAACAACGGCACCTATATTTTTTGCACCTTGTAGACATGATTAAATTGCATCCTTTGCCCTGCCTGAAACAAAGATAAACAAACCACGAAAGTTTAGAAAAATGAATGAGAGATCCCTGGAAGACAGTTTTGGGATCGCGCCAGCGGCTAAGGATGTCATCGGGACGATGACGAAGAGGATGAGCCGGACGACTTGCCACCGGTCACCAAGTGCCCCGAGAACGGCTCACAGGTGTGGATCTCCAACATGGCTTGTCGATGAGGGATGACCCTTTTTAGTGCTTGGAGTCATTGGATCCGTGCCAGACCCGTCGTTGGGAAGATTGGCTGGACGTTCGGGACCTGCCATTGGTCACCCGGTGCCCTGCCATGCCGCGGGCGCGCTACAGGTGCCGACAGGGGGCTTCGGAACATCATTCATTCTTAATGGTCCAGAGAGGGTCAGTCAGTGAGGGTTAGCCACTTTGAAAGTGAAGAGCCTCTGCATTCTTGAGGTCGTGAGCTCAGAAATCTTGATATCAGACTCATTCCACAGAGAAGTTGCGGATATTTTCTTCCACAAGGTCCCACTTTCTCATGGAAACCCTTTGCCATTGACTGTTCCGGCGTTGTCAAAAGGCCATCGGATTGGCTGGATCCTCGAGAATCTGATGAGGAGGAGGCCCATTTTTTTCGCTAAGTCTTCATCTGGGATGGGCGGGTTTTCCACCCTACAGCGGTGCTGTGGATTTTTCACGGAAGGTTTTTCCAATGTAGGTGAGTGCAGGCATGATTGACTTGCCAATCGCAGGAAGTTGTATGAAATTGTTATATCACCTTTCCACCATTGATAAAACATTGCTATTTATCAAATTGGATTTATTTATTTGTGTGTATTTTTTAATGTCAACTGATTGTTATATCCTCCTCCCTTTCCACCATTAAGGATGAAGATCTGGCTCCGATGACCAAGTGGGGGGCCCAGCGGGCGCATGGCCTTGTCACAAAAGCCTGGTTCCGCCACAATATGAAGGTTTCCTGAAATAGGGGTACCCCTAAAAAAATCATCCATTTCAATAGGATGTTCCCTTATAAACCATCCATTTTGGGGTACCCCCAAGTTAGGAAACGATCATATGAAGATGAATGAGATGCATAGAACATCAAAATGAAACATAATGAAACATACATATATATATAATAAACCCATGATAGCATATTAAAACCCATCTAATAAGACATGAAAAAGATGGGAGCCTATACCAACCTGTACTTGTACAATCATCGAATCCTGCTACAAGAACTGGTGATTTCTTTCCACGTCGCCATGGCATACCTAGGTGTCCGGAGGATGGCGCCGCCCGGCTCCACCACTTCGAAAAGCCCGAGCCGCAGCCGAAGCTTGGAAGCACAATGGAGTAGAGAAAAGTGAGATGCTCCATGGTTTTTGTATGGTTGTTTATTATTGTTCCATGGTTGGAAAAGTGGCGGAAATTCTTCAGAACTCTGGGAATATGTACAAACTTGATAGATGGTGCATGGTGAAGCCGTTTTGTTTTCTTTCACATTACTCTTGGGTGAACCTTGGTTAGGTAAATATGGTCGGGCAGGACTGAGGGAAATATGGTAGGTCAATGGGTGTTTTCTTGCTAGAGGTAGAGCAGAACACCCAGAAAGTGTTGTTCCTTTTGACAGATGCAACGAACCCTCCCAGTCATACATACGGCTTTGTCTGAAAATAGGCCAAAAAAAAGCTACCCCATGGTTTTCATCGTAGTTTTTCTCATCATTTTCCCATATTTTCCCAACAAAAAATTGCAACTGTGGGAGGCATACCCCATTTGATCATTGGACCTTGGCTGATGTTGGCTGCCAGAAAAATTGAGGCCTCCGGAGGTACAGGACCGACGAAGGGAGGGAGGTAGTTCTGGAACCGCTCAAAATGCTGACGCCAAGGATAATACCAAACAGAGACCGAGAGACACATCTCAATATATATAGAGAGAGAGAGAGATACGTGTAACACGTATATATATATATGCAGATATATATATTTTTTTTCCAAGAGGCTCATTGTTGCAATTCGCAGCGGCCTATGCTCGATGAATTCTGTGCCAAGTCAGAGGCAGATTGCCATGGCGTGCAAAAATCGGCCACGACCAAATGACATGTCATCAAATAACGAAAGAAGGCAACAAAAAGAACCAAAACAAGACCAACAACAACAGCAAACCGAAACACGAGCAACGTCAAATGGCGTGGTCAGGCCCAATGAAAGTACCAAAATCTCTACTAACCATTTGCTGGCACCGCTGCAGAAAATGTTCATCGACATAACTCTGTTCAGCAGTGTCAAGGCAGCTCATCGCAGTGACTGTACATTGTGCAAGTGCTGCGCAAAAGGCAGGAGGGTACTCCTTGAGATGGGTAGTTTTGAAAGCACCGTCCTGATTCCTGCCGATGTTGGAATTGCGCGGCAGGTCAGGTGTGATTCACCAGCTACAAATCGCATGCTTGATGGTGGGTAAATTCACCACAAGCAGCTCGGTGGGTTTTGGGCTGTCAGCTCCAAGCAAACCCTGAGCTAACTTTACACGTTCGACTCCAGGAAGTGTGAAAATCAGCTGGACTAGCGGCAATTTCCAAATGGAAGGAAAACCATCCCCTTCTGGCTCTGCAGGGTGTTCCACAATCCCTGTCATACCCTGTACAGCAAGAGAGAGGACCGATTCAAGGCAAAATCCTAACAAGACATTACCGTCAGTCACTTGATCAAGTTCACGTAGAGCAAGTTCTGGAAGCCCCCACAAATGTTCCGCAGAGCGCACAGGGCGTGGAAAGCGGCGTCGAGGATCAAGCTGGTTGTTGCAGGGCTGCACTGCCCTGGCTTTCGACCAGGTGGCACATGGGGGGCCCCCAAGGAATCCATGGACCCATCCTTGCTGGATGCCCGCGATCCAAAATGCTTGCACCTGCGGGTCACTCAGGTCACCATACTTCTTATCGATGATGATGTCGAGTGACACGACGTGTAGTAGGAAACCCTCAGACTCCTCGCACATCTTGTCAACGTACCATTGATAGTCCCCAACCCGCCTTCTGCCAGCAAAGGCGTGGAGGATGATACGATCTTTCCCAATTGGTCACGGAGCTGAAATGCTAGGTTTCCAAGGCTGCTCTTCTTGAAGAAGTGTGCTGCTCCATCGGTCAAAATGAGCGAGCTCATCATCTGGGCCACTCGTGCCAAGCGCAGGCCTGTCAAGAAAGTCCCATGCATCAGCTCTCTGCAACGCCACAACCGCTGCCCGCAAGCACTGTGCATCAAGGCGAAGCGTCTCAGCAAATTCTTCATCAACACTCTCTAAGAAAACCTCCAGAGTCGAAAAGCACTGCGTCCAAGAAATGGGCAACGCCTGAATGGTTGTTCTCAGAATTTTGTCAATACTGCCATCTGGCTCTCGATCTGCTAACGCATCAACCAAATTGAGAATGAGGTCAGTGCACTCAACACGGAGATCTCGCGGTTGGATCGGCTCTCTGCTCGCTCCCTGTGTTTGTTGTGGCGGCAGTGCTCCATCGTGGCATCGGTCTCCATGTCGTGATTCAACTGAGCCAATTCCCGGTCTCAATGGGAAAAGATGGCCTCGTGCCCAAAGATCACGTCTGCAAGTTCCTACGTTGCGGATATGCAGTTGCATCTTCGTGAGCGTATGAAATTCTTTTTGACAACAGGGACACCATGTGTCGTCAAAAAGTCTTCTGATGGGAGCAGTGTGACCATGGCATCGAAAGAAATGTGCTCCTTCGCCTCCTTTAGTTTTGCATCGCAATTGGCATTGCATGCACCCAAAGACTCCAGAATCACGTTGAGGTTTGGTGTAAACTGGTTCATCATGCACAAGTTCACCTGCTTCTTGCAAAATTATAAAGGATCTGCGATGCAACTTCACAACACACAACTGGTTCCTCCTCTGTAGAATGGCATGTCTGATGGCACGATTGATGAGTCTCTTCCAAAAACTACGGTGGTGGCGCATCAAATAAAGCCATTGCTCAAAGTGGACTGTAGGGTCCCTGAGTTCGGACGACCTGCAAAGTTGCTTCCACATCCAAATCAAATCATCTTGCACCAGATTGATCCATTGCTGGTCTTGTGAGAGGAGTCCCCACTCGGCATGCGCTCCGCAATGAATCAGGATACCAAGATATCTGAGTCACGCTCGGCGCAGTAGTTCGGTGGGTGTAGGCAACCCCAGGAAATCACAGATCTCATCATCATTCCAGCCATTGTGCTTCTGCGGCACCCATTTGATCAATCTTTTGCAAAGTTTGATGATTCCCACATGAATGTGATGGCGATCCGCAACCGTACAGAAACACCAGGATTCGGATCCATACGTGAGGGCACTGCAAACAATGGACTCAAACATTTGCGTTCTGGTTTGCTGGGCAAGCGTCGGGTTGCAATAGAGGACCGTCCTCTGCTGGGTAAATGTCTGGTGCGCAACTGCAAGTCGTTGCTTAGCCTCTTGTCTTTGATCTCCTCCATGATGAATGATGCCGCCCAAATGCTTGTAGCGGGTCACAACTTGGATTTGATAAGAACTATGTTCACCAACAATGGGAAACAAGCGACGACCATGGGCACCATAGAATTGCTGTCGCAACTGTCTGGATTTGCAACCACGAAGGGCGAGAAGAAGCTCAGTCTTCCCAGCCGCAAGGTTGGGGGACATGGCAAAATTCACGCACTGATCCAGCAAAAGCCCAGCAAGAAGGCCAACCTTGCGCACTGCCTCCTCGGCTGAATTGCCTGCAATTGGTATGGCTAAATCATCCATCCAACATGGGCCGAGAAACGGCCGTTGCGGTGCATCTGGACCGTCGTGCCCTTGGACTGCAAAGGGATCGGCAAACTCTTGTTCAGGAAATACTTCCAAGAGACCCAACTCAATGCATTTTTGCTCCAATGATCGCAACACTCGGGCCCAGAGATACCCAAAAATGGTGTCAGCGAAGCAGTCGCCAGGTCGACTTCCTGCCGTAGTCCGACACACGTCATTGTCTTGCCCATCAACGACAAACCACGTGTCCGTGTGTATTGCCGTGATACAATTGCGTAGAGTTGGTGGCAAGGCTGCTTGTTGGAGCGCACAAGGATCACTGAGGTGTTGATGGAGATCCGCCATAATGGAAGGTGGCAGCCCAAGCCTTTTCGCCACATCAGCAATGTCGTGGTCATCCCAACGATTTTGCATAGCCAGCGGGCGAAGCACACGATAAAAAGCTTCCTTGAGATCAAGGAAAATGATGCAGCATGAACGGTTCAGCTTCTTTTGCAATCGCAAAAATGCTCGCAGGTGGTGAATGCCCAGGTAGACAGGGATACCTGGCCTTCCTCCAAGCTGTTGGTTTTGTAAGAAGGTCTCGTAGAAGCTGGACTGAGTCATTCTCAGCGTTCGATGCAAACATTTTCCGATTTGTGAGGAAACTAAAAGGCTGCGATATGATGCGCAGTCATCAACCTCTCCTTTCCCTTTATATGCTGCAGTAAGACGGCCACCCTTGTGGGGGATGGCCTCTTGACCGTGGAGCGTCATTTTGAGAAGTTGTGAGAATGTGGCTTTCGCAAATTGGCCAACATTGTATTTGCATGCTTCCGGAGGGATGGAGTCCATGCCTACAGCGCGGCCAAGGCGGACATGAGAATATGCACGTTCCAAGTCACAGAGCGTAGGGAACATCTTTAAACTCAGGTCAAACTCCTGCTGTTGAAAGTGCTGCAGGTTGTCAATCCAACCTTCTCGGAGATCTTGGTGTGTCATTCTTCTTCCTCCTTCCATGTTGCAAAAGAATTCTGCCCATCGGTCACAACGCTGGCTGCTGGATTCGCAGTGCGTGCCATCACTCTTCTTCAACAGTGGAAAAGGCTTCTTTTTGATCTTTTTGGGGTTCGTAGGTCCTTGGAGTTTATGGATGGCTTGAAGAATTTGTCCAGCGCTAGCATCTCGTGGCATCTGTTCAAGTCTGCTGCGAAGCAAAGTTGCCTTCGCCTTGCACAAACGTGTTCTCAGTTGCTGGGCAACACTGTGAAGTTGCGCCATGCATCGCACAGTGCAACAGGCCAAGGTGGCTGTATAGCATCTAACAGAGTCCACATGCTGCTGGTTCTCGATCCTTTGTGTCCATGCACTCCAAGCTTGAAACATCAGTTCTGCTTTCTTTCTACGCTGGGTTTCACGAAGGTTTTTGCGATGGCGAAGTTTCAACGCTCGCAATGCCCAGATCTCATCATCAATGTATGGTTTCTTGGGACCATGGTCACGGCTTGGATGTTGCTTGTCCAGTGCTGTGATGACAAACTCATTGAAATGGTCCACATGTTGCTCGATGTCTTGATTCCATCGTGGGACCTGATAGTGCATCATTTCAGCCTGCAAGCTCGATCGGCGCAGGTCCGCTCGTTCAAATCCTTTCTTTGAAGATCGGGGCTGCCAACGGTGTTGACTAAGTCCCTGCCAATGTAGTTGAACACCTACCAACTCATGATCGATGTGCGCCAGACCAAGGTCAAAATTCTCATCCACAATAGAGAACTCGCAAGCCAATCGCAAGGACTGCGGTATGGCAACATGATCAATGCGACATTGCAATTCACCTGAAGGCGATGTCCAGGTAGTGTGCTTACCAACATGAGCTGGGAAAGTTGATGGCAGGCAAAGTTCTTGTTCCTCCAAAAACGCACGTAGCATGGGCGTGCTGGCACTTGGAGCATCTTCATGAGGGCCAACAATAAGTCCATCACATACACCTGCGGCCGCATTTGCATCAAGAAGGGCAAACAGATGCTGATTGGCGCTGGCTCGGTGCTTCGTGCATAGCTCTCCACAAGAGTGCCACCATTGCTCTCTATCAGAAAGTGTCTGTCCACTTTGTGGGCCGTGACCAACTAATATCAAAGCAGTCAAAAATGGTGCATCAATGGAGACCACGAGTGTGCGTGGATCAGCATGTCGGACTGTAAAATGCCTACGATGGAAAAACTGTGGTTTACCCAGCACATAAGCATACGGCTGTCGCAGGTTGATCCAAAGCTCAGTGCCATGGTGTCCCTTGCAAGCCCCTGATGCAATGCGAACTACATCTCCTGCTGTTGAAAAGCTCTGGGGACTTCGGGCTTCTTGGATGCCCAAGATGTTAAGGCATATATCACGAAATTGCTGGCGAAGGTATTCAACCTTGCCTCCATGTCCTTCTGGTCCCGCAGACAATGAAAGGACATTGACAGTCGCCAGACTAAGCACGAGGGTGACTTCAACCTCCTTCACAGTTGTAGGAGGAATCTGAGTACTTGGTCCGGCTCTGCTGGGCAATGCTGGGGCCTGTGCATCAAAACCATGTTGCGTAAGTTGGGGCATTCCAGCTTCCTTGGCAAATACCATCCAAAGGGGAAGACATGCCGCCATCGACGCACATCAAATGTCTTCGGTCTCGGCAGGTAAAAGCTCTTGTCACGTTCAGCTTTGGCAGCAAAATCGACAAAGTCGTTCCATGGGTCTTGTGAATGACCTTTCACATGGTTGACTTCCAGTCTCTGTCCGGGAAGGCAAGCTTCAAGAGATTGAAACGCACTGCGCAGCAAAATGAATGGTTGCTGGTAGTCATTGGTGCTAAGACTACCCGATGCTTGTCCACATGACGTTGAGGAATCCGAACAGAACACTGTCGGCGTGTCCAAATTGATTGACAAACGCCAGATTGCTGCCCAAAAAAGGGCTTCCTTTTCAGATGCATCTGATCCGATTCGATCTGTGCCAAGGAAGAACTTGCTGTTGGGATCGTAGTGCACCGGCTGCGCTTGCCATCCAATAAGCCGTACAGTCCTACAGCCTTCTGAATAGTTCTCGCCCAGTGCAACAAATGCCCAAGTGTCGGGCAGACCTTGCTCATCTGTGAGCGCTGGTGGTTGATGTCGTAAATGGCTCAACGACGATCCATCAGTGTAGATCACGATCCTTTCAACATCTTGCACTTTGCAGTTTGTCGACCAGTCAAAGTCTGGCGCCATCGCCGTTGAAGGCGGAATTTGCAGACCTTCAAGCGTCGTGCAGAGTGGAAATTCTTCATTTGAAAAGAATGTGGCAATGGTATCCAGATCGACACCAAGTCGAAGTTTACATGGTCCACATTCGACAGGAAGTTCAGCTTGGCAGAAACTGGGTTTCGGCTGCTGTCTCAGGTCTGCCGAAATGCGCTCTGGCCAAGGTGTTGGTCGTCTTACTTTCGAACTGCCCGGATCAAGTGTGGATACTTGGTGCGCAAAAATAACCTTGAAGACATCAGGCAAACACTGATGGATCGCTTGGATGGTGGTTTTGAAGTACCCCAAACTGTGAAGAATCTTCATGCAGTCCAGTTCTTGCAATACCTCTCCTTTGTGGGAATGCAGAATTGCCGCGTTGGGATCTGTACCATCACTTGTCCCGAATATGTAGTGCTGGAGACTGTCATCAGGGATACGATCTCGAGCCAAGCAGAGAAACTCATGATGTCCTGCAAATTGAAAGGCAAAGCAGTCGTGACCCCAATTCTTGAGCTCTTCGACAATCTTGGCTTCAGTAGGCTCACCGTAAATCTCAACAATGGCTGGTACCTGAGACTTGAAGTCCCCAGCACGCAGGCGAACCGCATATGATGGGACATCATCAAGTTTTTGGCTCTCTTCACTGTCTTCAGCCAGTGCATCTTCAAGGCAAATATTGTTCTTGCGAATCTTTGTTTGAAGCAGTATGGGTCCATGTTGTGGCACCGGAGAGGCTGCAGCATTCGGCAAATAATCAGCAAGGCGAAATTGCCAAATCTGGAGCGAAATACCATAGCCACTTCTTCCAGCTAAAGGTTGGCCCCTGCGAAGGGGAAGCTGGAGGTACCATGCAACAAATCCATGTGATGGTATGGGCGCAAGACAGTGCGTTTCATGTCCAACAACTCGCAGGATATTGTCAACAAGGATGTGCTCATGCGTTGTGACCGCGATGTTGTAGTGCAGGCTCGGGCGTTCAGGCCTTGCTTCATAGACATTCACTAGACTTGTGACCCAATCCTCTCGCTCCTGTTGCACAAGAAGCACGTGTGCTGCTACCTCATTGGCGACCCGTGGGGGCTTGGGATGCACCACATAGAAGTCAATGCTGCTTCTTGCGTCAACGTAGTCAATCCAGAGTCTACGCAATTCATCTTCCCATTGCCAGTAATTTGCAAAGAGCTGTTTTTGTCTGCTGTTTCGACAATGTGGATTATGCCATCGGTGATCGACAAACCAAGTCTCAATCATGCAGGAAGGTTCTTCTTCATCCCAAACTGCAGCATGTTGGTTCCATTGGGTAAAAGGTCAATCACAAACTCATTGGCACCAAAGAGATTGACCTGTCCCGGTTGAAAGGGTGCTGCGTTGTGATTGAATTGAAATCCCAGGGCTTCACGCGGTTGCGCAGAATGATTCATGTCAATCGCACATTGTGTATCCGAGTGATAATGACTCTGGGACAGAACTGGTGCGGCACGCAAGATGATCTCCTTCTGCATGAGTGAAAACGCGTCTTCCCTAAAGGACCCTCCAATGGGAGGCAAATGTATCACAACATTGGTTGCACTCGAGGATCTCAGGATCGTGGATGGCAAAAGGGAATTGCTTCCACGTCACTCGACATTGTCCTTGCGGCTGCAAGGTCTGCAACCTGGCCAAGTGAATGATGCTACCACGCGTTTGCATCGCTTCATCGGAGTGTGCCGAATGCAAGATCTGTTGTCTCCGCTGGTCCGTGTTTGTTTCATCAATGACAGAGATAACAAATCCAACGTGGTCAGGCTGTTGACCTTGTTCAATGATGACATGAGCCTGTGTGCATTCAAATTCACTGCAAGGTGGGTGTGGCATGACAATGCTCAGTGAAAGGCTTTGATCATGTCTGATGACATCTTGCCAAACCTCAATGATGCGCGTCCTCCACTCATCTGGATGATCAGAGAGTCGCACAGAACGGGATTCTCTGCAGGTCTGTTGGTCGAGATGGTGAAGATACCATGTCGTGATGTAAGCAATTCGGCCTTCTTCCTCACACTCCACAAGGTCAGCTTCATCCACCAGTCGCGAGAGTCTTTGTAGTTGGCCGGTAGCAAAGTCAGCCCTCGGTGACGGCCAGACCGGCCGTCTGCGTGCTTGATCTTCTCTCCGGTCATCCCCTCTACCTGCAGGTCTCGGGCTGTCACCATCAGTTGGGTCAGTCTTGAGTTCCTTGATGGCAATATGGACATCGGTTTGTTGGGCAAAATGTGTGAAGACTTCAACAGTGTTCTGCATCAATGAGAGGTGGGCATGATCACTTCTCTGATTGCAGGCATTGGGAGCCACTTCCAACACCCCTCTCGCAATCGCAATTGCAGTCTGAGTGTCAAGCTCTGTGTCCTCAGGGGGTGGTACTTGAATCCTGATGTAATCACCGTGGGCAACGACATGCAAAGTGTTGTCACGCCATTCCCAAAGTGGATGATTTTTGTGCACAATGCAACGATCAAGCTGAGTCTGGCAATAATCATCAAGATGCTGCAAAGTCAGGATATGCGATCTGTGGAGTTGTGCATTGACTCTCATTACCTGTCTGCTGGTTGCTGCAGGAATGGGTAAACCAGATGCCAGAGGATGGAAGTGAACAATCGTATCCACAAGGACAAGTTTCTCATCCGAACCTGCTGGAACATCATGTATTGACTGTAGGATAACTGCTTCCTCGGAAATCTCATGGATGTCCGGTGGCACCACTGCTAGTCGATGGAATGTTCTGATTTGGCTGCGAGGCAGTCTCAAGGCATGAATAATACCATCGAGAATGGTCATGTACGTGGACCATGGTGCAAAGCAGTGCTCATCTCGGGCATGAAGACGATAAACCAGGATACTTCTGTCAGTACTATGGATGCTGGCTTCACTTGCAGAATCATGTGGATCCGCATCAGGATGATCATTCGGCGGCTGTCCTCCAGGCGATCCTGGTTGTTCATTCTCATAATCCATTGCCTCAGCAGCTTGGCATGAACTGTGGGAGTGCGAGGCAGTGTGGCAAAGAACCTCGGTAAGGGTCCGGAAAGGCAACGTTAAAGTCAACCTCTTCATCAGGCCTTATGTGGTCCCTCCACGCACCTCTGAGATCAGGATCCCATCGTCTCCAGTCTTCGTGAAATTCGAGGATGCGGTATTCAAGATTGCGTTGTTGATGGACATGGTGGATGTACCAAGTACGCACTCTGAAAACATCCTCTGCGTCCAGATCAGTGAAGGCTCCATGTCGTTCCGCCAATTCAAGAAGATCATGTATGAATGGTGGCGCATGTACAGGATCAGGGATCACATCAGGATCTGGCTCCTGTTCTCCTGTCTCTTGACGCATTTCGGACGGTATAGGATTCTGCCATTGGTCAGTGATGCGATACTGGGCCATGGGGCATTGAGGACTGGAGATACACACGGCCAAGCTTGACAGCGGATCAACGTCAGTCCTACTTGAGAAACTGTGGAGACTCTGCGAGATGGCAGTCAGAGACCCTCCAAAGTCGACTTGAGCAACTGCATGATGTGGTATGGAAAATTTTGACATCAAAATTGTCGTGTCATCACCAACCAGAACATCAACATCATCATGAAAACGCACTCGGCCATGACAATGAGGTGGATAAGGGAAATGATCACGAAAAGTGGGAACTGATTGTCGCACGATGCCTTCATAGGTCCCAAGCTCAAAAGACAATTGTCTGGCGCTTTCAACAGCTCCCCATTCTGTCAGAAAGGCCGGCTCAAAGGTAATTGGATGGGTCCATTTGGCAACAAGCAATTCATTGGGCAAAATGCACACTTCCTCTAATGGCTTCAGGTTGAAGTACGTTGACGTCACTTGCAACCAGCCTAACCAAAAGGCTTGCCATGTTCTGCGGCTTCTCCTTGGGGTGGCGCATGCATGGTTGAATCTTCTTCTGCAGGATGGCGTCTGCGAGGCCTCTTCGCCAGATGAACTTCGTCTTCTGACACGATCGACATTGCCTGCTGCTGAAGGTTGACCAAGGACTTGTTGAGGTCTTCCATCGTGTCTGTGATCTTCTGTGCCGATCCAGACGCAGCAGTTGTGATTTCTCCGATCTCCTCGTCTGAAATCTCCTGCACTTCTCCTGCAGTCTCTTGAGCTTTGGCTGATGACACTTTGGCTGCCAGAAAGGCTTCTTTGGAAGTGGATATTTGCTCGGACAGCTTCTTCTCCTGAGCTGCAAACTGGGCTGCATATTCTTGCCACAATTTGACGGCATCTGACAGAAACTTCTTCCAATTGTTGTGCAGTTGCGCTCTGGCCATCAAAGAATCTTCGTAGGCCTTGCGCATGTGACCCAAATGGGTCGCTGCCGCATGAAGGTTCCTGGTGGCTGTGGCTCCATCCTTCACTCCTTCCTTCATGGCTGTTTCCTTGACAGCTTTTTGTATGTGAGGTGGAAGTTCGGCCACATCTTGCTTCAACATGGACAGAAGCTCTGGCGAAATCTGCTCTGACGTTGGTGGTATGGAAGGTGCTTTGGGCATCGTTGGCATCGCAAAGCCTGCTCCCATAACCGAGGTCACTGGTTGTGCCGCTTGCATGTGTGGAGGCGGTCCAGCTGGGCTGGCTTGCCATGGTGTGCTTGGCGGCGGCAATGGTGCTTGTGCCCCTCCAATTGGGAAAGGAGGCTGCATCAAATGCATCGATTGCATTGGCTGCATACCCCAATTCATCATGGGCATGTTCGCTGGCATCTGACCTGGAGGTCCCATGGGTGCACCTGACATCGGGTGCATAGGCATCATGGGTCCCTGCGGCTGCGGCTGATTGCCCCCTGGAGTGCCATGCGGGGTCTTGTTCCCTTTGGCACTTTTGGACCTCGATTTCTTTCTCGGCGTCTTGGGACGATTGTGAGATTGGTCCCATGACTGTTCCCATTGAGAATAGCCTTGCTGAGATCCCTGCCAGGGCGCAGCATATGTATTTTGCTCCGCTGTCCATTGCTGGGACTTTGCACCATGGACGTATGTCCTGTCGATTACTAAATGCCATGGCATCTGACATGTCGTGCAATGCAACGCTGAGTGCTTCCTCAGCTGCTTGCAGCTTGAACATCTCCACGGCGGATTGCTCGTAGACGACATTGCTGATCTGATTCTCGCAATGAAATGGCTCTCCTTGGAATGATGGGAACTGAGTGTCGATGCAAGTTGCTTCAGCTGATTCCTTGTCAAAGAAATGAATCCCTTCCGATAAAGATACCACTGAAGTCTCGCTCTTGCTCGTTTCCGACGCTGCGTTCTGCGGATGGTGTTGTTCGCCGTGGTCAATGTCCACCGGGAATTCGTAGTGCTCTACAAGAAAATCCTCAGAGACAATGCCAGAAGTGAGAACAGTGCAAATCAGATTCACCTTGGTCAAGATCAATGTCAGGACAAGGAAGAACAAAATTGCCGTACTCATACACAGAAATCGCAAACTTGTCCAAAATGTAAGGCCACCCAGGTTTGATAACGGTGCTGGGACACCGAGCAGCTGAGGTGATACCTGTCTAGAAGATCAGGCAGCGCACTTTTCGAAGGTCCAGGGCAGAGCCAGTTCAGACCAAACGAAAGCAGCAAGCAAATGGCCCGCGGAATCCAGGACTAGATTCCGCTAAGGTAAAGGACGTAACGGGTGATGGGCCCTTGCGATCCGAAACCTTGCAGATATATATATATATTATATATAATATAATATAATATAATGTAATGTAATGTAATATAAAGTAATGCAATGTAGCGTGGTGTAATGTAATGTAATGTAATGTAATGTAATGTAATGTAATGTATGTACATAATGCATCATAATGTATCATAATGTAATGTATAACATACATACATATATATATAGTATAAATATCACATATATATACAATGTGTAATGTATAATAAATCATCAATCACTGGCGGTTGGTGTCCTTTACATCTCGGCCTGTGCCAAATCCAAAGCCTCCAGCCAGGAAGCTGTGAATAGGCACGATGCTCCGCGGAAGCGTTGCTGGAGATGGTTTTGGTCAACCAGACAGTAGTCACTGGGGAAGTTGGCGGTTGGGCCTGCTTTCCCAGTGGAAAACGATTGAAAGTAGGAGATCGGCAGGACATTAGCTTCCAAGATTCAAGGGGAGAGCAGCTGGTGATCTGGGGCTTGTATCTTTCATCCTTGGGCCTTCCTCACCATTGCACCCATCCACACTTGTCCAACGTCAGGGAGACACCAG